ATTAATAAGAAAATGAACATCAAATTAGCCCTGAGGTTATACCTTCTACCCTGAAAATTGGTAAAGAATGCAAAAGATGAGAAGATCCAATATTGGAAGAGAAAGAGCTATGAATTAATATAATTATTTTGGAAAGCAATTCGAAATTATGCAAAGTGCCTAAAATGCTCACACTCTTTGTCCCAGAAATTCCATTTCTAGGCTTCTGTCTCAAGGAGGCCATTGATAAGAAGAAAGTTCTCATGTACACCAAAACATTTACAACAACACTTTTTATGATAGCAAAGAATTAGAAACAAAATAAATGCCCACTTCTTAGAGAATGACTGAACAAATTGTGATAAATTAATGCAATAGAATAATACTGTGCTCTAAGAAATGGCAAATATGATTAATGCAGAGAAGCATGGAAAGAGCTATATGAATTGATGCAAAGTGATATAAGCATGAGCAAGTAAACAATATACACAATGACTACAACAATGTTAACAGAAAGAAAAACCACTCCCCCAAATTGAAAGTGAATATTGCAAAATTTATAAAGAATAAGCATGGCTTGAAAATAGAGATGTAAGAAATAGAAGTACCTACCCAGTGGCAAATATTTAACAAAGCTCTCTGAGGAGAAGATGAGGAATGCATGAACAACATACTAAAGTTTAATATGTATTATTAGCATTTTCTCCATCACTTTATTAAGTCTAGAAAATCAGAAAAATAATTAATCAGGCCTTTATTTGTAGTATTTGCCAACTTCTAATGTGTAAAAGTTTACAATGAAAAAGCTTATACAAGATGAATTTAGAACACTCCTGTCCCTACCTCATCACCTTGCTGAAGTGGAAGGTTTGTGAGTGTGGTATATGATCTTTTTTTTTTTTTTGCACTTTTTCAATATATTGATGAGTTTTGCTTATATTTTCTCTCTCTTTTTTTTTTTCAAAAGATGTTATTTGTTATATGGGTTGACTCCCTGGAAAGGGGAGAGATACTAAAGAAAAACTTGGTGATTAAAAAAAAAGACATCAATAAAAATTTACTTTGAAAGAAGAGGACCAAAAAACAAATATGAGACTCTTCCTCCAGAAAAAGGGAGCTGGATATTATGAAACAAATACATCTACTTATTCTCTAAATAATGATGAAATTGATTTGCAGATACCACAGAGGTGGGAGGGATAGCTAACCTCATGATTTAAAAAAAGTATCTTGAACAAAAAGGTTAGAACATTGAGCAAATCTAATAAGACAAATTTTAATACAGACATCTGTGAAGTTTTATGCATGGGTTGAACAGATCAACCGCAAATGTTCAATATGGTGGGATCAGGGTGCCATCAATAGACAGATACATACACATACACATATCTACATACATACACATAGGGTGCTTCTTGTTTTAGATCAGGACTCAAGTGGAACTGGAGAGTATTGAGTTAACTCCCATATTTCCACAACCTCAACCAGGGCTATTGTGAGCAAAGAAGCTATAGAGAATGATGAGTTAATTTAACCTCCAGGCAGAATGATTTGAGATGCAGCTGTGGACCTTTTGACCAATATAGAATATAAAAACTGGTTTGTGACTTTAGTAGAAGAATTGCTGAGACTGCAAAGAACCTCTTTGTTGACCGACTTTTTAAACTCCTGTGTTGGCAGTTCTTACCCACTTTCACTTTTCTGGAGTGCTTTTTATCCCCTTGTGGATTACCTTTGACCTAGAAGCTGTTGGATGTTTCATGAAGGTAATTGTTTATCTGAGCCCTCGGGCTCTGAGTGATCCATTACACCAGAAATGGAACCATGATTGGAACATCCTTGCAGGCACAGACTTTTGCTTTTTTCTGTATTTTATTTTATTTTTATCTTTGTATCCTTAATGTTTCCATTTTTTATTCTTCAGGCTCCTCAATGTGAAGATCATCCTTAGTTCTTAAGAGGCAGCGGTTTTCCAGATATCACTGCCATACAGCAACACAGTTAAAATATTTGTATTGGGGCAAAAATGGGCCGTTGCTGTTCTAGGAAGCTTACAGTCAGAAAAAGTACTTTGTAATTTCTCAAAAGCAATCTGTACACTCTGTTCTTCCTATATAACTCTGGGCCCAGTTCATTGTCCATCTATATTGCCTGCCACAGATATACATGCCATTGGACAAGCCCTATAAGAGGTTCATTCAGATGTACATTGAAAGTTGGGCAGTGTATATTTTTGATCCATTCAGTCTTTTCTGTAAAAATGAATAAGCCAAGCTCCTTTGAGTGATTACAGATTTCTTCTAGGATACATAACCTCTTGGAGCCAGATTAAATCAAAACAATCTCAACCCAGAACGGGGGCTCACCATCTACAAGGAATCCATCATTGACCCAGATTCTGCACTAAATCATCTTCATCACAATGGTAAATACTTTTGCTGAGTATGTATTTCCCTATTTTATGCCTTACCCAATGTTTGTTGTCAGAGGGTTACTGAACAGGATTATTTCTGTTGTTACATGTTTCAAGAAACCTTGAATGGCCTTCATGGATGGGTGGGAGAAATCTTGTTGTAAAAGAAACATCAAGGCAGTATCTTGTTTGACCAAAATCATTTTTTTAAATTGACAAACAATAGGTACAACAGGACCTCATGTCCTCTATATCTTTCAGTCAATTGGGAGAAGGTAAAGATGTGGTCTATTGACAAATACAGATTGCAAAAGCTTTCTCAGTCCCTGCTAATACCCTCAATTTGTGTAGAGATGAACCCCGTTAAAGATTTTGCATAGATGGGATAATAGAAATATAAGTCCATAGTTGACATTTTCTTAGTAATCTTTTTTTAAATAAACAAGATCTGAGGGGGTTTTTTTCCATGTGTTGGGAATTACCCCCTTATTTAGATTCATGATAAATCCATCCCTCAATATCCTCACAATTTCACCCTTGACTTGAATCTCCTCTGTCTATGCTTGATCCTATCTGCCCGTTTTTCTCATCTCTGTTCCCTTTAGTACCATTTCTACTTTCTCTATAAGAACTTAAGGAACTATGATGTCAGCAATGGTTTCATTATATTTGATGGAGAAAACAGTTTGCTGTAATCGTTTTTTTCAATCTTTTCCATTTTTCTTCTGTTTGCTGTCTTCTTTCTCTCATCACTCCTGAATATCCTTGGAATGCCTTCCCTTACTTGCTTTGCTAAAGTTTTCTTTAGACTATTTTTCCTTCCACTGTTTCTCTCATCTTTATTAGATAGTATTGCTCATAATTTTTCAATTTTTGGAAAGATTTTACAGATGAGTTTATATTCTAATCCAGTATTGCCTTTGGCAGCCACGTCTCTCTGTTAAGCAAGTAAAATGTTTTTTGACTAAGGTGGAATGCATGTTGACTTGATTGGGGCTGGGGATTCTTCACAGAATTTATTTCTGTTTGCCTTGGTTTCCTTATCTGTAAAATGGGGATGATAATAGCACCTACTTCCCAGGGTTCTTGTGAGGATAAAATGAGATATTTGTAAAGTATTTCACAAAACTTAAAGTGCTATTTAAATGCTAGCTATTATTATTTTTAATGTTAACATTATTAACTTCCATGGCTATTGGAGTTAGGAAACTAGGATTCAAATCCCAACTTCAATGGATATTGGATTTCTTCAGGCTTCTGCAGCTCACACAAATCTGATGAATTATTGTCTTAGGTGGTGATAGAATCATAAAAGTAAATAAAATGGTGATGGGTGTGAAAAACAGTAGTGATATTATTGGGATAGCTTAATTAAGTATTAATTGTTGTATATTACTGCCTTGAGTTTCACTTTTCTGATTTTTAGGAATTATACTCTCTTGACTTCCATAGCCCTCTTCCAGAGAAGACATATCCCTCATGTCACAAGTTTCTCTCCTAATCTCATGCTTCTCCTTGAATTGCATTGCACAAGAATAGCTTCAGGGAACTACTTATAATTTTCCATTTAGCCTTCCTTTGAAGTATAAAAACACCATTCTCCTCCAGATAGCCCCTGCTCTTGTGGTAGTCATCCCAATTGCTGCCAGAACTCCTAACTAAATTGTTACCCCTAAAGTCTCCAGAAATTCAGTAATCTCCCATAATCAAGAATTTGAGGTGTAGGGTGAAAACATGACCATTTCATCTACTAATTCAGGACCTGAGTTTTATGTATCCTTCCAATAAACCTATAATTACAAATCTCTCATATAAGTCTTTTTTCCTGTACCTATGGCTTGAACTCAAGTTCTGATCACTTAGTGTGCCAGACTAACGCAATGGGCAGGTTCACTTGGAAAACTTATTTGGAAAGCTGCTTCAGCTCCTATGTGGATTACTAGAAGTATAACTGCATTTTCCATTCTGCCCCCTCCAAGGGATAGGGACTAGGCTGTGGTTGCTTTACCACAGGTAACTCCTGGGTAAGGAGACTTCCTCTACTGATGCAAGTTAGCACCTCTTCTGCAACTCAGTCTCAGAGAGCTGCCCAGAACATTAGAAGTTAAGTAATTTTCCCAGGGTTACACTGCTAGTAGGTTTTTGGGGGTAAGACTTGAATTCAGCTCTTTCTGGTTATTGGAAAGCAGCTTTCTAAAGGCCACATGAGGTTAAACATTGGATACAAAGGCTAAGTCATTGTATAGTGTAAAGATAAAGTCAGCTATGAGCTCCATCTCAACTGTCCTTTAAGAGATTAGTTGTTGAAGCTATCCCCCCAATTAAGAAAAAAATACACCATCACACAGGTTACTGAAAGTTCTCTATCTACCATACCACACTGTCTCCCTCCACTCTCCAAAAACTCCTTTTTTTAACCTTTGTGCCTAAAGCAAGATCTCCTATACTCCTGACCATAGCACAATATCAACATAAATAATTGTCTGGGTTTGACACCCTTGTCACATATCCCAGGAGGCTGTGGCAAAGATATCTTGCTCAGGGAGGACATGGTCTTCTCAAATCAACAGACACACAAGAAACAATTGCAAAGATTTATTTAGCGGCCTTTTGTGCTTGGCACTTAGAAACAGAATTCCGTGCATAGGGCAAATTTTTATACACCTTTTTCTTCATACATATTTTACATTCCCTTTTTATTGCCCCTTTTTAATATTCATAATATTGAATTCCCCACTAGGCACATAAATATATTTATCTACAACACCTCAAAACCAAAATCTTAATAATATCTGTATTCTTTTATTTGGGATAATTGCAGTTCCACACCACTTAAATGCTTAGCTTATACCAAGCTGCAAGTTTTTTTAATTGTTAAAGGCTATGGGGAGGGAGGGGTAGAGGGAAGAAATTAAAGAAACTTCAAAATGCAACCATCTATTTGTTTAAAACTGTGCTCTAAGGGAAGAGGAAAGATGAGTTTCCCTGAAATTCAGCACTCTGAATTTCTGTGAAACCACAAATTCTCTATGGCCACTCTGGCATGCAAGGCACTAAATCCAGGTCAGCTGCCTTGGTTCACTCATAGCTGACCAGGTCTCTCTTCATTGCCCCAATTTCAATAAGTTCAGGCTAAATTATCAAACTCTTTTCCCACGCTCCCATTCCCTTTCTCTTCCCCCTTCCCATACTAAATAAGACTCATGTTTTGGGGAGTCAAACTTCCACAAGTTGGTGTACCGGTGGATTCTGGAAGAATACCACTGACAGGACCTGTGGAGCTAAGATGCAGCCCTCTCCCATCTCCTTTCCCACCTGACACCCTGGCCAAGAGCATTTGTATATAGAGTAGGAATTAGAGTGTCCCAAAGAGGTCTCTTCCTCAGTAAAATCATGTTTTTGCATTCTTTTGGGAGGGGGAAAAAAAGCAGTTTCCTTGGTGAATTAAATTCTCACCACTGTTCACACATCCTCATTCTCTTTCTCTTTTTCACTTTTTTTTCTTTCTTTCTTTCTTCCTTTCTCTCTTTCCATTCCTTTCATTCTCTACTATCACATCAGTTGCACCACTGAATTTTCAGGACAATAGCTAATCAGCTGGAAGGAGCCAAAGTCAGGAGAGCACCTTCCTTCAGGAAGTAAAGTCCAATTGTGGCTCTGATGTCCATCTACCCCTCACCGATGGGAAGTGGTTTCAGGAGGTCTGATTCACTCCAGAAACAGGTAGGGTCCTGGGGGGTAGGGGTCAAGGGTAGCCTTCCCAGACCATGTAGCTTTGTAGAAAGACCAGTCCTTGGTGAAGTACCCACTCCGGGTCTCCCTTCATGAAGAGCTCACCCTAGTTGAGAGTGAGTGTTAAGTGTATGTGTGTGTATGTGTGTTTGTATGTGTGTTTATATATATGTATATATGTATGTATTAGGTATGTATGTGTGTGTATATATATATATATATATACGCATGTTTCATTGGCTGTTACACTCTAGCCTCTCTCTTATATTAATATAAAATGATTGTTCCATCTTTCCAAAGGCCACTTAGGATTAAAAGTTAGACGCTGGATAACAAGGCTAAGTCTTTGGATATTGTGAGAATGGGCCAGGAAGTCAGATGCAAGTTCCATCTCAAGTGTTCTATGAGAGCTTGGGAGCATCTCTTTGTTGTAGGGGTTATTCCCACCCCACCCCCTTCAGAAGAAAAAAAATGCAGTTCCACTGTTCATTAAAAGGCTTTGAGCTCCTGACAACAAGGATGCCTTCATGGAAACAGTGGAGGGTCTTTAGTGATGAGAGGTCAGGTTCCCCATTAAACCATATGCACAGACATCTGGGAGGAGGAAGAACCAGGGACGGACCCATACTGCCGGCTGTCACAGGTGTTGGCTGTCTGCTGATTGGCTGAAGAGGGGCTGATCATATGCATGCCATGTTCCATCCCTGTGGGCAGATATTGCCTCTCACCAAAGGCCCCATTGGAGGGAGATGAACAGAGTAAAGTGCTTTGGGAGGTGGTCAGTTTCTCTGGGCTCGCAGCTAGCCTGGGGGAGGTGGGGAAGTTGTAACCATAGAGGTTGTAAGGGTTGTGAAGGGAGAAGGCATTGTAGGAGCTCTGCTGCATGTGGCTGCCACCGAACACGTGTGGGGAAGAAGAGCTGGAGGCTGGGTTGCCTGCCTGCATGACGTATTGAAATTGGGAGGCAGGGAAAGAGCCCAGCTGGCTACCATAGGCTTCCATCTTGCCATTGCTGGGCAATGACGGAGGAGTCGGGATTCCTGAGATCAGGGATGGAGTCCTCTGAGGCATGAAGGTTTCTGAGGACTGGCTAGCTGAGGACGTACTGCTCTGCAGGCGGGTGTAGCTGCTGTCACTCAGGCCCGGGTAGCTCTGCAAGGCAGCCATATTGCTCCTGGCACAAGGTGGATAATCGGAGAGGTTTAGGTTGCATAGCTGGCTCTCCCGGCAGCCCACGTTGAAAGTGTTGGGGGCCAGGTGAAAGGTGGGAGGGGAACAGGACGGAGACAAGAGATGAGAAGAAGCAGAAGGGGATGGGGTTCCGGTGCTGGAGGTGGTCGGGGAGGTGCCTGTGCTGCCCCCTGAAAAACAGAATGGGACAAACATCATTTCAGTGGGAGACTTTTGTCATAAGCCACGAAGGCTTACAATAACAACCATCCCCATTTCTAGAGTGCTTTACTCACAACAGCCTTGAGGAACACAAGTTCTTCATTTAACAGAGCAGGAAACTGAGGTTCAGAGACTTAAAGAGACCAGTCTACAGATATAGGATCAGAAATCTAGAATGGAGGGGCCGTCAAAGGCTGTCTAATCCAACTTTCTCACTTTGTAAGTAAAGAAGGTAAGGCCCAGGAAGGTTGTGACTTGTCCCCTTCTCCCTCCCCACCTTCTAGCTTTTTTCATATGATGTCTTCTCCCAGTAGATTGTAAGCAATTTGAGGGCAGAAATTTTCTTTCTTATTTTTATCCCTAGCACTTAGCACAGTGCCTGACACATAGTAGGCACTTAATAAGTGTTTATTGAATTGAATTGCCCAATATATCAGAGCAAATAAGTTTCAAATCCAGGACTGAAACCCTGGTCTTTTCATTACAAGTCTAGCACACTTTCCACCAGATCAGCAGCACAACTAGCAGTTCTGGTATCTGCAGAAAAGCAGCATGAAGTGTGCTCTCAGATCAACTTTTTAAGATGAATTCAGCTGAGAAAGGAAGAGATTCCAGGATCTAAGCCCCTGTTGAGAGAGAAACCCTAAGATACCACTCAGTAGGAGGAAAAACAGAAATCCTGGACCTCTGTCTCCTATAACTTTAGGTCTTCAGATGCCACAAAATTGCTGCTGAGGCCAAGGAAGTGGGAGCAGGTTGTGGGTGGAAAAGTTAAAAAAAAAAAAGAGCCTTTGAAAAACTCTTCAAGGCATCTGCATTTGTTTTTGCCAAGTCTTATTTTTGAATTTCTGGATTACTAGGAACTGTCAAAGGATACCCAACTCCCCCAGCCCAACTATAATCCCAATGTCTAAGGCTAAAGAGGGTTTCCCTCTGCCAATCTATTGGAAGGGGTGGCTTTGACTAAGGTCTTCTGATGGCTATGTGGATGACTGCTCCTGTGATACAGAAGGAGTTTTGGAATAGGAGTAGTTTCATTGTTTAGTTTTTGAAGGAGAAAGAAAATTGATTAGCTAATTCCTTCTCTTGGAACCTTTTTTTATGCTATCTTAGAGCAGGGGTGGGGAGCCTGTAGCCTCAAGGCCATATGTGGCCCTCTTGGTCCTCGGGTGTGGCCTTTGTTCCAGTCCAAGCTTTACAGAACAAATCCTTTTCTTAAGGGGATTTGTTCTGTAAAGTTTGGATTCAGTCAAAAGGCTGCACTTGAGGACCTAGAGGGCTACATGTGACCTTGAGGCCTCAGGTTCCCCACCCCTGTCTTAGAGTCTTCCGATGTCAGTCAATGAATAAATATTAATTAAGTACCTACTTTGTGATAAGCACTGTGCTTTGATGTGTTCTGCTTCCAACCTGGGCTGGTTTGCTTTGCTCAGGAAGCCCGGTGCTCTCCTCCCCACCCACGTCTCCCTTCAGAGGCTCACCATCTTGGGGACAGACTTAAGGCGGATATCCAATCAGCTTTAGCACTAGGGCAGTTCAGAACTCCTGAGGGCAAGCGATCCACATGGATTATATATGTACATGCCATCACTCATGGCTATAATCCAGTCCTGAAGAGGTTCCAGTCTAAGGCACACTAATGCAAAGTCAGTGGAGTTATCAACTGGTGCCATTTGGAACTATACTAAAAAAGTCACTAAATCTTACAGATTCTTTGACCCAGGCATTCTCTAGTTAGATCCCAAGGAAGTTAAAGAGGGAAAGGTCTAGCTATAAAAATAGTCATTGCCAAACTTTTGTTGGGAGCGAAGAATTCTAAGTACAGTGGGTACCCTTCAGTTGGGGAATGGTTGAACAAATTGTGGTGCATAAATGTAATGAAATATCATTTCACCACAAGAAATGACAAATGTGAAGGGATAGGTATTAGACCTTTGATTTCATTGGTATAGGGAACCCCCAGATGAGGAAACTCCTTCAACTGGCAAGTAATCCAGCATCGATGTGTTATAGAGTGTGTGGAGGAGAGTAAAGTGTAAGGATACAAAGCTAAGAAGAGCTTTAAATGCCTTTCACATACAGCAAATTCCCTTGCCCAAGACTGCTGACCTTCAGGGCAGGGTTTGGACTTTCCCAGAGTTGCCAAGACCTATATTTCCCAAAGGGGGAATCTTGGAACCCTCTTTAGTCAACCTTAACTTATGCTGGGCTTCCCAGAATCAGAATTCCTACAGGAGAGGGGAGAGGGCAGGGGCAAATGAGAAATAAAATACAACAATCATTAGTAATGGAAGAAATGGGCAGAGAAACAATGAAAAATTGTTTAAATACAAGTCTTGAGGAACCAAAAAATCAGGGTATTAGATCAAATTGGAAGTCTAATACCCAAAAGTACTCCAAGAAGTAAAGATTCTAAGAGAATCCTTGGCAAACAACAATTTAAAATATATCTAATGATCTGGAAAGTTCTCCCCAACAGAACTGTGTAAGCTACTTGAAAGGAGGGACCATCTTTCGCCTTTCTTTGTAGCCCAGCTTAGCTCAGTGCCTACCACGTAGTAGGTACTTACTAAATGTTAGTTGACTCACTGTTGGCCCAGAATAAAGCACGCATTTGGCTTTTGTTTATAGTTTTTGTTATTATTGTGTCAGATGTAGAGTTTCAGCATTTGACTGGAGATATCAGAGATCAATCATGTTAACACTTTCATTTTATAGTTAAGGAAACTAGAGGTCAAAAAGATCAAGTGACTTGTCCAAGGTAATATAGCTCATTCCTCGAAGAGGTGGAATAAAAATATAGGGCTCCTGATTCCCTGACCAATGCCCTTTCCACCATACCAACATAACACAAAAGTAGCATATTCTTTTCAATCAAAAGGATTCCCACTACAAATTTCCAAGCAGTAATTTCCAATCGGGGCAGACTTCAACTATAGGTCATGCAGGTCTTCACCAACACCATTATGGTATATTTCAGAGACCTCTGAAAAGCCCTACCTCCATTTTTTTTAAATCTCCCATTTTTGCTGGATTCTCTTTATCATTTCAGAATAAAGCTTTCATTTCCATCATATCTGAAAGGGTTTAAAATCTACATGACCCTCAGGGAGATCACACATTGATTGAAATTCATACTAAGATGAAAATGACTGATACCAAGTCATTTCCTGACAGCAGATTTTTACTTGGAGTGGGGGACTGGGAGAGAAGCCGCTTTGCACCTGAGATAGAAGGGAAAGGGCCTCAGAAAGGGGTCTGTCTCACTTTGTCATTTTCACAGTTTGGCTAGGGTCAACCCTGCTCACAGCATCTTAAATGAAATCCAGCCATTCCCTCCTGGTCTGTGGTGGGCACAGGGCCCTTTTGAGAGGTGTTCTTTCTATTTCCCATATATTCCCATGAAAAGGAAGCTATGCTGAATTCTGTGAGCTTAGGCAAAATAAGTCATGGAACACGGAATAGAGAAACTTGACTCCCGTTGTAGAGAGATTTGTGTTTTACAGGGATATTTATCTAGTCTCCTCTCTATTTGTGAGTATTGTCCTGCTCTCCATGGGCTGGTGTTTACGTAATCCCAGAGGGGACCACCTGTTCAGCACACTGTATTGTTCCCTTACAAATACGCTCCATCACTCTCAGGCCTTAGGCCTACAGCAGGAAGCAGGATGTGGAAGAGAGAATTTTTTACAACTTTGAAATGGTTTTCTTGGATGGCTCACAGTGCAGGGAATGGTACTGATTTAAAGTCCAAGTCAGTTACAATAAAAAAAAAAGATGGGGGTGGGGTGGGCAGGGATTAGGGTATTAACAAGTTACAGTGTTCTCTGCAGGCCATATGAGAAGCACACATTAAGAAGGTTTTAGCTGCCCTGGGCTCTTAAATAGCACTGACTTGAAATGTTGTGGCCCCTGGAGCTGCAAGAGAAGGTGAGAAATACTGGAAATGGATTAGCAGAAGATAGATATGGGCAAACCCAGCCAGGAAATAGTCAAGCTACTTCCATACATTTTGCTTTCTATCATGCATTTTTCAAACGTCAAGAGGAGACATTAATTATTATTCTCTGTTCACACTGAGGACAAAGCTTGACAGGCCTTAATTTTTCAGAGGCAGAAAGCAAGGTAACAAAAAAATCAGTATTAGTTTAAATTCTCAAAACACGTCAACCATAAAGTGAAATTAGAATAGTAGATTAGCCGAAAAGATGCTTTTAAAAACAAAAACAGTTAAAGAGGAGAAAGGCAGTGTGTTATAGTAGATAAAGAGTTGGCCTCATAGGGGCAGCTCAGTGGATAGAACACGGGCCCTGGAGTCAGGAAGACCTGAGTTCAAATTCGAACTCAGATACTTGACACTAGCTGTGTGACCCCAGGCAAGTCACTTAACCCTAACTGCCACACACACACATACAAAAAGAATGGACCTTACAGTAGGAAAGACCTGGCTCTCACTCCCACTACTGACAAAGTGACAGTGTGATCCTGGCTAAATCATTTAACCTCTCAGTGCTTCTGGCCAATTGCTAAAACTACGAGTTACTGAGAGGTGCTGACATCTAGTGGGAATAATAATAATAAATAACATTTATATAGCGCTTACTTTATGCTCAACCCTCTGCAAGTACTATCTCATTTGATCCTCAGAACAACCCTGAAGGTAAGTGCTATTATTATCTCCATTTTACAGATGAGGAAACTGAGGTAAAAAACCTTAACTCACTTGCCCAGGGTCACACACAGCAAGTAAGTGTCTGAGGCTGTATTTGAACTCAGGTCTTCCTGACTTCAGATTGAACCATGTACCATAATGGTAGACGGAGTTCATCACTGGAAGCTCCTCACAACAGTGGTGTCAAACGCAAATAGAAAGGGGGAATCATTACCATATACATAAGGCTCCTTATGGGCCACATGTTGGCTTAGTTTTAAAATGTAATATTATTTATGTTTCATTGTTTTTGTCTAT